AGACACCATAATGCCACCAACTGCGTAAAAATGTTGAAGTGATTACCTTTTTCATGATAGTTTCTTTCTTCCATGTTTCAACTCCTCTGAAAAAAGACTTGGTTGATGTGCCTGAGAGTGTCATATCATATAGAAAAGAGGCTCTAAAGAAGGATACATAACAAACCAATTGTAATACAACTATTAAATACCTATAAAGAGCACAATTAAAAGAATAGTGACCATCCAATCGGCAAATATCACATTGAATGCAACTCCAATGCTAATGCCTAGCATAAGCATAGGTTGGATAAGAACTGCCAAATCATAGTCAATAATTGGCATGTCGATTGTCGGATGCCTGAGCTTAAGATTATAGTAAACGGTCGAGACTGCAGCTCCCATGATCATACCTGTCAAATTAGATACGGTATTTATGACTCCATAGGACCAAATGCAAACTTATACTAAAAAATGTTTATTTCTTCTTTAGCCATTATAAATTTAAAGGCGACTTTCAGATGCTGTAAGTATTCACAACAACTTCAGGGCAGTTAAAAAATTTATATGCAAAGTTTCTCCTTCCTGCAAGAAGACGAAACTTAGAATTTCAGGTCTGAGGCTGTTCAAAGTTATATTCATAGTCTAATGTATTTGAGTTCATTTAATTAAAAAGAACTATGTAAATCGAATAGAAACAAGATTGTGTATAAATTAATGAATATGGTTAGTAACTCACATTTTGAGATAGCGGTCGCCGATTTGGGATCAAATCCAATAATAAGAGTAAGCATGGGAACATATATCCCACCACCGCCAACGCCACCAACACTTCCAAAAGCTGCTCCGAGAAATCCAATTATGCTACCAACAACAATTTGCCAGTTGAATTTCAGATCCTGTAAACGATATACCAAATTGTCACACCTTCCACGCCAATAGGACGTCCAGTCCAAAACATGAAAACCAAAATCAACCGTGTAAAAGCACAACTCATTATACACGTTTTCAAATAGTAATAACACAAATTCATGATTGTCTAATGACCCAAAGAAAACAACAATAAACGTATGATTCTCCCTGGCTTAAGAAAATTCTGTCATTTACACACACACACATAGGTATGATCAATTCAACAAATCAACCATTCTTTGAGGTTTTCTGCTAGTAACCCTTTTCTGATTTCTGTACAAAATCTTACTTTTCTTCCAGTAAGCGCATGGTCATGTGCAAATCTCCAATAAAAATTTCATATTTCGGCATGCATGTCTAAAGAATAAATGAATTATGACAAAAATTATCAACACTTGTTAATAGTTTGATCCAACCAACACATAGCCCTTCTGGATTCAACAACCTAACAAGAAATGCAAGGCAAAATGCCTACAAATTCATAAAGATACTTTTGGATATACTGATCAATGATCATCAGCAATTCCGAAAAAACTGAATCAACATCATCTATTGTGAGCCCCATATAAGTAAATTAGTAGTTGCCAAATTAAACCTCCAGCCTTAAAATTCCGATACTAATAAATACTCAACAATCAAACGCGTGATGCAAAATTAAACATGAAAAAAAAAATGAAGTTCAAACTCAACCCAAATAGATTAAGCAGAAAATAAATTTAAATATAAAAATTGAAAAGAAATTGAATCAATGACTAATTAACACACCGGCCAAACGTGCTGGTACCCAGATTTGTTGGCTTGCCATATAAAATTCAGACAATTTTTTAAAACATCCGAATAAGAATCAGAATGTG